ATTCAGAGATTGACTAAGCTACTGCTGTTTTGATAAATGAAACTCCCTGTTGCTGAAGCCATACAGGGCCAAGGGCAGCCTCGCATTCCCATCATTTGGCAGTATGTGTTCTCTTCATACTGCTGTCTGTGGGGAAGTACTCTTCAGACAGTAAATAGTATCTCTCCACGCATCACTGCTTGTCAGTGGTGAGGTGAAGGAGAGGCTCTTGTCACAGCAGCAAACTGCTTCCTGTGGCTTGGTAGGCTGCTCCAGGCATGAGCCCTGCTGTCCCTCCAGGTCACTGTAATGGCGAACCAGGGCTCTAATAATGCACAGCAGATGAGCTAGATCAGGAAGTTCCTCAGAGGACCACAGGACGTTCCGAGGGCCCCAGGAATACATTCTAAGAGAGTGTTTTTTGGCAGGAGGGATATTTCATTTGTTTTTGGACTACAGCAGCGACAGCCCCACTGGTTTCCTGTTTTCCTTCCTGAATCAGGTCTCCTGTGCTCTTTGGGGGGCAGTAAAAATATGAAAGACACTTTCTGGGAAACCACCCTTCCTTCTTTTTTTTTAACTTCCAATTTGGATCTGTTCTCATTCAATTTCTGTTCACAGAAACATGTCAAATCTGGAATTAAGTTTTTTCATAGCAAAAAAAACAAATGAATGATTTGCAGTATTCAACTAATTTCGGATTAGTTGCGTATACATTAGCTGTGTGATTAAATCAACTCTTTACCATTTGTGCAGATGAGTGGGTAAGAAGCCTACTGCTGACATTGGTCTACAAAGCCAGCAGGTGGCAATCTTCTCAGCAAACCTCCCACCTATGTCAATGGTAACGCATAGCCTGTACTTGTCAGCTTGTTAGGGTTTCTATGACTGTGTAATGCAGCGTAGAAAACATTATTTGACAAAGACATAAATTCCGCTTGAGAAAGACAGTCATATTATTTAACAGCACGGTTATAATTTGTGATTGATGTACCATACATGTGACACATGATAATAAAATTGAGTTCCACGAATCACATAAAATCAGAGACAAAAATGTGTTATCTGATCAATTGAATTTATGTGTTTCTGTGATGAGTGTGATGGAAGGAGTCAGGCACAGGAGGGTAATCACCGAATACAGAGTTAATTCCTTCGTTACACAAAATACGCTGGATAGCGACAAACGAAACAGGCACAGGGGAAACTATCTACCCTGGCAATACACTCTAACGGTATCTCCATACAATACATAGGCACAGGGGAAATATCTACCCTGGCAACAAAATGGTACGAGTAGCTCACCAGAGCTACACTACTCTCACATTCAAACAATCACCCACAAGGACAAGGGGGCAGAGGGAACACTTATACACAGACTAATGAGGGGACTAGAACCAGGTGTGTGTGATTGACAAGACAAATGTGATGATGATAATTGGGGCGGAAGTGGTTAGTAAGCCGGTGACGACGAACGCCGAAGCCTGCCCGAACAAGGAGGGGAGGCAGCCTCGGCGGAGGTTGTGACAGTTTCACAATAACAACTGCCAAACCACCTAAACAAATTGTCTGCAACTCTGGTGTATCACAGTGCATGGAATGGGTTTTGTGTAGAATGAGTAAGGTCTGGTTTACTCCCACATATCTCTTCCCGTAAGAGCAATATCAAGCTGTGATCACGCTATAAATTACCAGTTCCACTGAGCATGACATGCAATGCCAAACTGATTGTCTGTCAGGTCCTCTTTGCCATCAAAAGGACATTACATTCATATTGCTGATTTAATCAATGTCCCCTCCATTGTTAGGATATGGGTTATGTCTTTCATTTCCCCTACAGCCTCAAAAGACTAATCCAAATTAGCTTTTGCTGCACTGAAAGGGAAATTAATACATCTCAGAAAAGGAAATTATAGTTTCAGAAAGAAAAAATATGGTTGAGTACAGCATGCATCAAAATCACAGTGTAGGCTATAGGACTGTGTATTAACACGTGATGTGGATTGGATCCAAAAGTAATTTGTAACAAAACTGGAAAGGCAACATAATAGCCCATATTTAGCACCTGAAAATACTGTCACCATTCATCAATACATTGATGGGATACTGAAAGCAGCAAAGTCTATATTTGGAGTAGGCTATAGCGATAATGAGTGTTTGACTATGGAATGGCAAAGTTCATATTTCCCAGTATAACAAAGCAAAAAAATCACAAGACACAGAGGTCAGAAAAACAAAAGAACTCGGTCAACAGCTTAGAAGTTTGACAGACAAGGTTTTTATTTAAGTTATTCGAGATAACTTACTTGTAGCCTGAAGAAGCTCTTCACATATGTAACCTCTAAGATTGCTACACATCCGTGTTTAGGCTGAAACCACAGTGGACATAATGTACAGTTTCAAAGCCACATAATTAAAAGAGAAACCTGAGCCGAACCGAGAAAACCATGAACATGGCAAATGTTCAGACCACTATACGCAATGGGGAGCCTGGATGCTCTGATTGCAACATCACCTACATTCACTTCACAGATAACATCTTCATGAAATGTAAACCAACCTACACTCCCCACTATGTGTTTGGACAATAAAGCATTTTCTTTACATTTGGCTCTGTACTCCAGCAGTTTACATTTGAGATTAAATTATGAATATGAGGCAAAACAACAGAATGTCAGCTTTTCTTTGAGGGTATATTCGTACATGTCTGTTTTACTGTTTAGAAATGAAAGCACTTTATGTATCTAGTCAAAGGTGTAGTATTTGTGTTTTGGGTTATGATTTGCCCAATAGGAACTGAATGGTGAATGATGACTGGAGTCATTTTCTTTCTAAGTGAGTAGATAAGATGTTTCTGAACACCTCTAAATTAATCTGGATAATGAGTGAGAAAGTTACAGAGGCTACAACAAAACATGCTAACCTCTCACCATGACCAATAACATGAGGTTGGCATTTTGGGTAAGGTATGATCTTTGTGCCTCTGTAACTTTCTCACTCATCATCATTCATGATTCATTCATGATTATCCATAATCATGGTAGCATCCAGATTGATGTAGAAGTGTTCAGAAACATATTATATTCTTACTTACAATAAAAGTACATCCAAAATGACAATATAGTATTCACCATTTAGTTCCTAATGGACAAAACATATTCTGAAACACAACCAAAAACTGCAAATGCATGCAACAAGTTTGTAGTGACAAGCTTGATAAAGTCATTGTGTGCAAGGATTATGGGACCAAATACTAAACTTTTGACTACTTTAATACACTATAAGTGAACTAGTCCAAATACAGATGACTTCTTAAAATGGGGGGACTATATGCATAAAGTGCTTTCTAAACGGTAAAACAGATATTTGAAAATACCCTCAAATGAAAGTGCCATTCTATACTCTCGCCTCATTTGCAACTTTTTATCCACAAAATAAATTCTGAATTATAGAGGCAAATTAAAAATGTTAGCTTTACTGTCCAAATACATACAGAGGGGAGTGTATAATGTTTAAACAAATAGTGCTGCTACATTTATTATTGGCCCTGATTTAATAGGCCTAACAAAAAAGCCTTAAATATGACATCAGATATGCCTTTAATATAAAACATGTTCACATTCTTTCCAGTTTGATATGTAAAATAAGTAACATTGTGTGCCTAAATGAATAGCTTTTTCTTTTACTATAATATTGGACAAGCACGCATACTGTGCATGCACCAGCTTTGTTGACAAAATGCTGAGAGAGCTGTGATTGGTCCATTGCGATGGGTGTTTCCGCATTCTGTTGTGAGCTGTCAGTGCGAGTGCAACTTGGAAAGGGGACTGTCGTGTCTCTTAAGTAACTATCTCATCATCCATTCCCGGGGGACTACCCGTTAAACGGTTGTGATCCAGGATGCCCTATGTACTCGTTAGTACTCAGATCCGGCTGGTTAGTATTCCTCTTCCCGTCATAGCATACAGACTGCATTCCTTGTGGTTGACGCGCACGCCGCAATGTTATAGGAGACTAAAGATTTTGTAAAGGAAGGCTCTGCAACTATGGTTCTGCAACAATGTAGCCGATTTTGACGTGTGGCTAATTACATAGTTGAAACCTATATCCTGTTTTGCAACATTGTAACATTTGCAAACATGGAAGCAAAACAAATTCGAACTAGAGCATAACAGCTCGCGTCTGTTTTTATTTTTTATTTTTTATCTACTATACACCAAATTAAAAACATGTTCAGTCAGATAAAGTATGTTGGCCTATTTCTGTGCATAATTGGTCAATTGTTGTCGAGATTGTGGATGGCATGCCATTTGAAGAATGCATCTGAGTGTACAAAACATTAAGAACACATGCTCTTTCCATGACATAGACTGACCAGGTGAATCCAGGTGAATGCTATTATCCCTTATTGATGTCACTTGTTAAATCCACTTCAATCAGTGTAGATGAAGGGAAGGAGAGGTTAAATAAGGATTTTTAAGCCTTGAGACAATTGAGACATGGATTGTGTGTGTGTGTGTGCCATTCAGAGGGTGAATGGGCAAGACAAAATATGTAAGTGCCTTTGAACCGGGTATGGTAGTAGGTGCCAGGCACACCGTTTTGTGTCAAGAACTGCAACGCTGCTGGGTTTTTCCCCCCTCAACAGTTTCCCATGTGTATCAAGAAAGGTCCACCACCCAAAGGACATCCAGCCAACTTGACACAACTGTCGCGGAAGCATTGGAGTCAACATGGGGGGGTGCAACTCAACATTAGGAAGATGTTTCTAATGTTTGAACTGAATATTAGGAAGGTGTTCCTTATGTTTGGTGTATATTTATATTCAGGTCTCTGACATTGCTCTTTCTGATATTTCTTATTATTATAAATGTTTGGGTATTATGTTTGTATCAATATTAGGAAGGTGTTATTAATTTTTTGTACACTCAGCCTATAGCGTCTATGCACAAACCTAAATATCTGTTTTTCAGGAGACTGGGCCGACCATGGTAGGAGATGTATACTCTGACCCAGCAATAATGAACTACCTGGGAGCCAGGAAAACCACCATGCTGGGGAACAATTTGTGAGTGTTGAGTATATCTCATTGTATGTCTCCATCCTTACTGTAATTGCTATACTCTGTCAGGCCAAGAATATGACAAACCTGTGAGCCACAGAGCCATGGAAGAATGGTGTAGTAGTGGTACAAGTTGGACCAGAGCAGGACAGAGGCTGCTGCAATGTAGTTTGGGAGGAGACCAGCAGAGCTGATCGAACACAGAACAGGGAAGTGTTGTCATTGCGGATCTGCCACAAGTGCTTTTGGGAAAAGTTTTGTTAGCACTCCTGACAGAGTTTACAGAATGAGTTTGACATTTTACATCTGTGAAAAAACAAAACTTTGTGCCCCTTGCAGCTCGGAGTACCACGTAGACGACCCTCCGCGGTTGGTGTTGGACAAGTTGGAGAAGATTGGCTTCCGTGTGGTGACGATGACGGGCGTGGGACAAACGCTGGTGTGGTGCATGCACAAGGAGACTGAGTGACCTGACTGTGGATCAAGGACACTCATAGCGTGTCTTGGGCCACATGGTAGTGGTGGTGGTGGTGGTGGTGGTAGTGTCCTCTGTCCAATGAGGAGCCACAGAGCTAAAACCTATACTGTACATACTACATTACAAATCAAGGATGGATTCTATACATTAATTCTGCTACTGTTCTCTGTGATGTAATGGTCTTTTCTCTCTTCCATTCATTTTGTTTTTAGCAAGGGGTGCAGATTACTGAATTTTGGATGACGAGCAATTCTCCAGATCGTTATTTGCCCCGTTAGCAAATGTGTGAATTTGTATAATGATGCTACTTGTCGAAAATCTTTTGTACTGATGGAGCAGCTACCAAATATATGTGTGTAGTGGCTTGTTCATAATCTGTCATAGCAATGGGTTTACAGACTTCAGGGAAATAGGACAATGTCAAGAAAAGTACATTCCAGAGAGGATTACAGCTCAAATGACCATATCCTCAAGATTCATTTTCCATGAGTATGGAGGGTAGTTCATTTCATTGCAATTCGTTACTATCTGTAACTGAATCTGAATGTCAAGAGTACGATGATGAATCAGTTCCACAGTATTACTTTGCCTTTAGGCCAAGCAAATATACCTTTTACCAGCATGGAAACATTCCTTTATCCTTACTCCAATTCCATGAGATTAGAAATCAAATCAATTTTTATTTGTCACATGCTCAGTAAACAGGTGTAGACTTAATAGTGAAATGCTTACTTACGGGCCCTTCCCAACAATGCAGAGAAAGAAAATAGAGAAATAATAGAAAAGTAAAACACGTAATAATAAATACACAATGAGTAATGATAACTTGGCTATATACACGTGGTACCAGTACCGAGTCGATGTGCAGGAGTATGAGGTAATTGAGGTAGATATGTACATATAACCAGGAATAAAGTGACAGATAATAAAGCAGTCAAGAGTTAGTGCAAAAAGGAGCTATTGATGTAGTGAGAGATGTTAGTTTTCATATCATCGGTAATATAATTAGATGCATGTGAGGAAATTATAATAAAGATGATTTGATGTAATTTTGTTCTGATTTGTTGTGTGGCATGTCTCAACTCTCAAGGAGGTACAGTATACTTAAAAGGACAGGTTGGAAGTCTGATCTCCCTGTCTGCCATCTGTCAGTACAATATGGTAAGCATTACATTTGTTGGACAAATGAGCGTAATGCTCTCTTAAGAAGAAAAAAAGCTCTGTAAACAAACCATTGGAATAGTGCCTTCCCGCCTCAGGCCCATGGGAAATATGGCATGTCTGCAGCATAAAGGTGTTTTTTTTTTAGACTCAAAGTAGGTCAGTCAGACCTCAGTACATAGGGGGAAGTTAGAGTCAGGTTGGGTCCTGTAAGTGTGACGAGAGTGCTGCAGGCATACCTGGTGGAGACCATATGAGCCAGCACTTCTGCTGCTGCTGGGTGGTTTCATTAGAGGCTCAATGGGCTGCCAGCGTGTGTCTGAGGCTAACCCCAGATCACTAAGCCTTCGCCAGGCCTGCTGCCTCTGCTGTGACTTGGCCACCATTTACACTCAAATATCAAAAGGGCCCCTAATTTCTCCATGCGGCTGTGGCGGTTCCAGGTTCCGCTGGCGTCTGAGGATCTGCCAGCTTCCACACGGACAGAGGATCTGAGGAAAAGGAGGACACTGTGAAGATGCCGCCGGGGGCTTCTCCTGTTGATTGGATGGCTTTTGTTGGGACGCCACGTCTTCCCGTTTCATTTGCATGGAGCACAATCCGCTGGCACAGGGCATGGTCAGGATGTGTTTCTGGAAGGGGAACTGTAATTGTATTCCCTCTGTTGTAATTTTGACTCTGAATGTTCTGTTTTTTTCTCTCAGGGATATGACAGGCCGTCCGTCAAATGCATAAACAGAACCATCTGATGAGTGTATATTGCAGTAGGAGAGGAGAGTGTGGGGAGAAGAGAAGCGTAGGGACCAGATGGCTCACGCCACACCACACCACAGCTGTCCGTTGTGTAAGAGAGCTGCGGCAGGCTGGGAGTGCCGGGGAGATGGATCACTGGGTTGGACCAACCAGCTGGCTAGGAGTCTCCAAAATAACACGATGACAGGAGGAAACTTCACACAGCCCCACGAATAGAGACTACATTACACCATAGTCCCCCGAGGGACAAGAAAATACATATATTTTGTTTTGGATGTTCCACGGAGAGAGGACACTGTTACAAAAGTCTGTTTCCCCAGCAGAGTGACTGTAGTCTGGCTCAGTGTGTCAGGTCCTGACTGGAAGTGGACCAGACATCCCAGCATTAGGCTGTGACATCAGGAGACCTCTTCCTCCATGAGCAACTCATTTAACAGCCTCTGTTGGGAAACTCATCTGAAACTGGAACCACAACATTCAAGCAAGAGAGCAACGGTCATGATACTGTATGAATATATCTTTCATGAATGCCAATGACTTAAGGGACGTGTACATTTGATCTTCAGTTAAGTTGTTTTCACTGGGTTGACCAACTAGTCATCAAATTACCTCTTCATGATACTTTCAAGGAACAGATGTATGTATTATAGCACAACCAGTAAACAGGATTTGACAAAGGAGACAAGGGTGAATCGCACTTAGAATAGGCATATTTTGAATGCTAACTACAATGTAAAAGTTCAGTGCAGGGTGGTACTAAAGTCTTCACATCAAGTTACAGCCTTGAAGTTGTACAGTACTGTGTACTGTACATGGGGCCTCTGTAATTTGATGCAAAACCTTAGATATACAAAACCCAAGGAACAATCATCATAACCACCACTGCTATAATAAAGGGCCTCTAGAGTATATTCCCTTTTCATCACGTGAGCCCACAAACATTCCCTTAAAACATGCCTACAGTACTTCCACTCCAATCCCAAGCTGATTGCAAGTTAAAAATGTAATGGCCATTAATTCCCCATCTTCTGATCACATGGTCTGTGGTTTACACTGTTGGAAGACAACTTCAAATTGCATTAAAGGAAAATGACTCAGTCTCTTTGCTGCAAAGATAGGGTAATGAACAAACGTTTTACAGTTAAATAGAAAGTGATACTGACAGATGCAAATTACATGATTGCATCATTTAGATGTGGTGTAGTAGTGTTGGATGGCCCATCTCTTTGGGGTCTTTTGCAATACGTTATGATAACATCCCTTGATAGTATAAACTTATCTTGTTCCCCTGTTTGTCTTACAAGTGGTTTGGATGAAAAACGACACTGTTTGAGATTACATTACAGTAGTAGCTGGTAGTAATTCAGTGAATGACAAACCAGAAACACACCCATTCAAAAATATGTTTATTCAACAGATAATTTATAAAAAAAACACAGACGAGATGTGCTTCATGAAACTAAAGCATCAGGTGTATAGTAAAGTGTAGTTGAGTTGTGGCTGGGCAGAGCTGGACTGAGTATGGGGCCAGGACTCATTCAAAGGCACATTGAAGCGTTGAGATTGCATTCACGGTATAGGCTGCAGATGTCAGCTCAAGCGGAAATTACTTTCAAATGTCAAGCACCGCACTCTTACAGAAAACACACCTTGGATTGAATCCCGGGCCTGGGTCTGGGCTTGTACTATGCTGCATCCTCCTCGTCCTCTCTCTTCATCTCCTCTATGAGTCTCTGTCTGTCTGATGCCTGTCTCATATTCATCAGCACCACGCTTTCATAGTCCCGCTCACTGCTCAGGGCGCTCTGTAGGGGTAGACAAACAGTCAGGTCAACAGGGACAGGCAGGCAGACAAAGGACAGGTACAAAGCATTTACAACCTGTGATCCTTACCATGGTCATTTCAAAGGCTTTACCTTAGTTACCAGTGTAAAACTGTCAAAATGAAGAAGCAAACCATGCTAAGCCATTGCATTAATAATGGGATAACACAGTGCAAATACAAAAACAAGCACTACATGTGACATAAGTGTGCAACAGCGCATTGAGCAAATTATAACACTGTCCATCACTGGCGGCTGCTGTCAGTTTTTTTCACGACAGGACCAGAGAGAGGAGAGGATAGGACAGGTGAGGGGAAGAGAGGAGAGGACTGCTTCAGACATACAGTGCCATGAAAAGTATTTGCCCCCTTTCTGATTTTCTCTATTTTCTCTATCAGATCTTCAACCAAAACCTAATATTAGATAAAGGTAACATGAGTTTACAAAAAAAAGATACTTATTTTATTTATTTAATTCAAAGTTATGCAACACCCAATTCCCCTGTGTGAAAAACGAATTGCCCTCGTACACTCAATAACTGGTTGTGCCACCTTTAGCTGCAATGACTGCAACCAAATGCTTCCTGTAGTTGTCGATCAGTCTCTCACATCGCTGTGGAGGGATTTTGGCCCACTCTTGCATGCAGAACTGCTTTAACTCAGCGACATTTGTGGGTTTTCAAGCATGAACTGCTTGTTTCAAGTCCTGACACAACATCTCAATTGGGATTAGGTCTGGACTTTGACTAGGCCATTCCAAAACCTCAAATTTTTTGCTTTTTAACCATTTTCATGTAGACTTGATTGTGTGTTTTGGATCATTGTCTTGCTGCACGACCCAGCTGTGCTTCAGCTTCAGCTCACAGACGGATGGCTGGCATTCTCCTGTAGAACTCTCTGATACAGAGCAGAATTCATGGTTCCTTCTATTAAGGCAAGTCGTCCAGGTCCTGAGGCAGCAAAGCATCCCCAAACCATCACACTACTACCACCATGCTTGACCGTTGGTATAAGGTTCTTACTGTGGAATGCAATGTTTGGTTTTTGCTAGACATAATGGGACCCATCTAGTCCAAAAAGTTGACTCAAGTTTGCCAAAAAAGCACCTGGAAGCACCTGGATGATCATCAAGACTCTTGGAAGAATGTTCTATGGACAGATGAGTCAAAAGTATAACTTTTTGGATGACATAGGTCCCATTATGTCTGGCGAAAACCAAGCACTGCATTCCACAGTAAGAACCTTATACTGAAGC